AATCATAGGTGGGGGTACAGTAGTGGTCTAAGGGCAAGAGGACTTGTAGCCCCTATCTGTGTAGTATCTCAGAAATTTCCTGGAGTCTCAGAATTGTCTTTTGCAGTACATGAGCATAGCTCTGATACATAGGTGCCTTGAATATGCCCCTGTGAATCCTTGATAATATAAAATCATATGAAGGCTGCTTAATTTTCCCATGCCTTCAAGAAGTATGTCTGGGTGTTATTATAAGGCAATGCAGCTTGGACCAAGGTTAGTGTGAGGAAGACAGTATAAATGTGTACTGCCTCTAAGGGCTGGCTAAGATTGTCCTATGCGGGTCTTGTTTGTTTATTTTGCAGTAGTATGGATTGAACCCTGCGCCTTGCACTTGCTAGGCTGGTTCACTACCACTACCACTAGGCTGCATTCCCTCCTCTAGATAGGCTCTAGGTCAGTTCCCCAGCTGCCTTGCACTTGCACTGCCCCTGCCACAGCCACCTGAGTAAGTACAATCACAGGCCCATACCTCTAGGCCCAGGTTACCATCGATTGTCTTAAGCTTAAGTTGCTTTTAAAGTTGTGTTTGTTTTCTAAGACTGTTGTGTTAAAGTACTTGTGCTACAAATTGTGTGGCTTAGACAATTGTGCCTCACCATTCTGGAGGGCAGAACTCTTAAATTCAAATATCAGCTGACTCTACTCTCTGAAACCGATGTGGGAAGGATCATTTCTTGCATGCTCCTAGCGTCTTGTGTCTCCAATGTCTCTGACATTCTTTAGGTGCAGCAATTCATTTTGCTTTCTTCACATATACCTCTCTTTCTCTCTTGGTTTTTTGAACCAGGGTTCCCCTGTGTAGCCCTGGCTGTCCTGGAACTCACTCTGTAGACCAGGGTGGCCTCAAACTCAGAGATTCATATGCCTCTGCCTCCAGAGTGCCAGGATTAAAGGTGTGCACCACCACGGCCTGGTACATGTATATCTCTTTATGTGTATTTGTGTTCAACCTGGCTCTCATATTTTTGTGTTTGTGTATGTATTGTGTGTTTTTGTGTGGATGTGCCTGCACGTGTGCATGTGGAACCCAGTGGTTGACATGTTGTATCTTACTCGAATGTTCTCCACCTTATTTTTTGAGACAGGGTCTCAGTGACCCCAGAGCTCACCAACTGGCCAAGAGTAAGTGGCTAGTGAATCTTAGGAATCCTCCTGTATCTGACTCCCCAACACTGGGACTACAGGTGTTCTCTGCTGTGCCTGGCTTTTTACGTGGGTGCTGGGGGTTGAATTCATGTCCATTTATTCTTCAAGCACTTCACTGACAGCCAGCTCAATAACTTCCTAATCTTTTACATTTTATAAGGATACTAATCATATTGGATCAGGAACTACTGTACTTTAACTTGGTTACCTCTGTAAAGACTGTCTTTTCAAATAATGATAATATTTTGAGGTGTTGAGTGTTAGGATTTCAATGTATCTTTTCAGGGTCAATAATTCACCGCATACTAAGGTAACACATTTGGCATATAGAATAAATGAAGGTCATTCTTTCTACTTCTTTAAACCATACTTTTCATTTTAAATGTTTCTCACATCAGTTTTGAGACTTTATTTCTATCTAAATTCTGTGTCTATATCTATACTGTTATTTTGTCTTATTTCAGCTTTAGATGTTGTCTGCTGACTACCTGTTGTGATACATGAGATTATAGTTCATTTATTTCTTCCTATTTCTATGTGCATATTTTAAACTCTTGATTATGGAAAGTGATCATATATATCATGACTCAACTGATTCTGGTGTCGATTCTTGTTATTCTCCTTTCTTTCCACAAATGTTCCTTCTGATGGTACTACATAGCAAACATCATGCATATTTAACTTTAGAGTCAGTTTTCTGTTTTTCCTGCTTTTTTGAGAGTGAGTGATAGGATGTGTGAAGTATACATACATGTGTGTGAGAGAAAATGCATATTTGCCTATGCTTAGAGGCCAGAGATATTGGGTGTCTCTTTCTATTACTCTTTGAATTGTTCCTTTGAGACAAAGTCTATCAGTGAACCTGGAGCTCCTTTTTTGTTTTAATTTGTTTTTCAGTTAGGCTGGTATTCAGCAAGTCCCAGTGATGCTGGTGTCTCTGCTCTCTCTACTCTCCTCAGTGACAGAGTTACAGATGTGCTTGGGGATCTTGTAAAGATTTTACTTCAGTTTTAGCATATGAAATCCAGTACTTATGCTTGCAGAGTAAATGCTATTAATCACTGAGCCATCTCCCCAGCCTCCGGAGTCAGCTTTCTGATGAAATCGATCCACAGCAAGAGATAATAAATGCATGTATTTCTCGTTGGTTGTTTTACTTTTTGTCTTTTTTGGAAGGTCCACCATCCAGCTCCCAAATAAACCATACATATAGGCTTATTATTATTTACAAAGGTCCAACCTTAGCTTGACTTATTTCTAGCCAGCTTTTCTGAATTTAGATTATCCCATCTACCTTTTGTTTTTGGGCTTTTCCCTTTCTATTACTTCTGAATATCATACTTTCACTCTTACTCCATGGCTGGCTGGGCGGCTGGCTGGGCGGCTGGCCCCTGATGCCCTCCTCCCCTTGTTCTCTTGCTCCTCTATCCTCTTTCTTTTTCCCTCTTACTTATTCTCTTTGCCTGCCAGTCCCTCCTATCCTTTCTCCTGCCTATTTATTGGCCATTCAGCTCTTTGTTAGACCATCAGGTGTTTTACCCAGGCAAAGAATCACAGCTTCACAGAGTTAAACAAATGCAACATAAAAGAATGCAACATATCTTTGCATCATTAGAACAAATGTTTTACAACATAAACAAATAATATATTTTAAAATAATATTTTGCAGCATGCATTGGGATTATTAATTTAAATTGGAAGGGAGTCAGTCACAAATTATTTAACATTCTAGAAATTTGTTTAATATTTTTGTATAAATTTTATAGAGAGAATTTCTTGTTTTATTTGGATTTGTTTATTAAATCTCATGCAGGCATTGACCTATACAGGAGTGTTGACCTTTTCCTGTTTTAAAGTTATTTGTGTCATTTTATGAGTACAAATGTTTTACCTGCATGTATGTATGTGTGCCACATGTGTGACTGCTGCCTGCAGAAATGAGAAAAGGGTTCCAGATCCCCTGAAAATGGTGTTATGGGTGGATGTGAGTCATTATGTGGGCACTGGGAAGCTGCCCCGGGTCCTCTGCAGGAGCGCAAGTGCTCTTAACCATTGTCTTCAGCCCCTAGAGGCCTGATTTTATGATGATTTCAGTTAAACATTTTCGATTTTAGTGAAGTTATGTGATTTCCTTAAAAATGTTCAATGAAATAAAACATGAATGTAGATGATGGAGGACATTTCATATTTTGTCTGTTGAAATAAATATTTCAGTTCTTAGAAAACACGAGTTTTGACTTTTCAGTAGTAGGAACCATTCAAGGCCAGAGAGAGTCTACAACCAATTAGGGCCACTTTGTGTTCCTTAAGCCAGACTGTGTGTCATCCCATAGCTTTGACTTTCATTTCTCCTATGCTACCATTGCCATCCTCTTCTGTATTTTTGGCTTCTACGTTTCTCTGGTTGCAATATCAGCTGCAGCTGTGCTTCTATTTGAAACTGAACCATGGCCATGATTGTGGAAAAGACTGAGGATGTCTTCAATATTCTTATTCCTTATGTTTCGTCCTACCCTAAAGCTAGATGTCAGAGTGCTCAGAAAACTTGCTTGTGAACCTGAAGAGTCTACCAAAGAACTGCAGACATTTTTAGAAGTAGGAACCACATGTGGCTTTTGCTTCTTATCTCTCATTCACCATGGGGTTATTTAGACTGCATGTTTTGATGGCCATTTGATAAGCATGCTCTGGCTAACTCCTAAAGAGGCGTGTCCCTCATGGAGACTCCCACTGTCCCCCATTTCCTGATGAATGGCTTTGTTTTAGGCTTTCAGACTTTTCAGTTTTGAACAGTAATGGAAATATTAGTAGCATAAGCACAAAGTGTTGATATGAGAAGAAACTATTGCCCTTGGTTTAACATGTTGCCTGGAGGGTAAAATGCCACAATATCAATGTTTCTGCACTAACAAATGCTAGATTATTTTATGGGCAGAGAGGGGTTAGGGATGACTCATAGATAGAGGGTCTAGTTTTTCAGAAGTTCCATTTGGTAGAGATAGGACACAGAGTCCTTCTTGGTCTTCAGTCCAAAATGAATAGGGAATAATTGTTGCCACAGGAGTTCAATTCCCAGTCACTGTGCCTATTTCTGCTCTTCTCTCTGGTGCTCTTCTTCTCTCTGGCTCCAGCTGCCATCACTCTTAACTATGCTCCATTAATTGCTGGTCCCTCTTTATACAGACATCAAGTGGCTTGTCCTTTCCTTCTCACGTTTGTTTAGCTATCTCTTTACCAGTGAAGCTCTGCCTAGACAACCTCATATAAAATAATAAGATCCTCCCAGTTTTATTTTGTCCAGATCAGGAACGCCCAGGAACGTTCTATAAGTTTATTTTAAGTTCAATCAGAGCACGAACTGAGAACTCCAGCACCAACAGCGCCCATTGTATTTGCGTGTGTGTGTGTGTGTGTATGCAGTGTTTAATAAGGATTTGTTTAACTGATAAATAGGGGAAAAAGGTCCTTTTAGGTATAGGATGGAAGTTTTTAAGGGGCTTCTTCGGAAAATGGGCAGCAAGGAAAATTAACATTTATAGAGAGATAAGGGTAAGATTGGAGTTACAGCTAAAAGGCACAGAACCATCAGGGAAAAAGCAAGAAACTAGTTCAATAGCAAAACCCTCACAACATCAAGAGTCCTGTCACCGCTTCGTAAAAGGTGCTCTGGAAAAGCCACAGCCCCTGTGCTTCCGGTTAAGGTCCCCCCCACTATGGCTGATTATGCCCACGTACCTCTGTAACCACAGACTCCACCCTCTAGAGGGAGGAGCTGGGGGCAGTTGCGCAAGTGCGGGCCTGCACCTGGGTCTTTGGGCCTGAGGCTGTGGTGTCACGCAGTTTTCTCTGTTTGCGTCTGTTGGAGCTGCGGCGGCGGCGGCGACAGCTACCCAATGGTCTAGTTGTAACCCGAAGCCACTTTTCTTCAAGGTTGCAACAAAGCAGCAATGTCGCCGCCGCCGCCGCCTGACTGGCGCCTTCTTGGCTTCAGCTTGTTGGTAGGCTCCTTCTGCTTCGCCCTGGAGTCCGCAGCTCAAGGCAACTCTGCTACAGGTGCCAATTGCTCGTTCTTTGCCCTGTCCAACTCTGTCTCTGTCTCTGCCGATGTTTCTTCTTCCATCCATCCTACGTTCTTTTTTTCGCCTCCTTCATTCACCCCCCCCCCCATTTTATTCCTGCTTACCCTCTAGCCATCTTTTCCTTCCTTCCATCTGTTCAGCTGGCATTAATCTTTCATCATTCCTCCTTCCTACCTCTTCCCCTCCTTTCTGTCCCATCATGTTTTTCTCCATCATCCCATCTTTCTTTTTTCATTAATTTTTGAAGAATTTCATAAGTGCATGCGACATATATTTTTGTCTCACCCCTATTCCTCCCCCCTAACTCCACCCCCCTCAACATCACGTCCTCTTTTTGTTTTTATAACCCACTGAGTTCAGTTTGTGCTTCTCATACTCACATGGGTGTGGGCCCATCCACTGGTGCGGTGCACAGTCCATCTGTCTAGCAGTCCATCCTTTTCCTTCCATCCCCCTCCCTCCCCCCGTCTCTCCCTCCCTCCTTCCATCTGTCTTTTCCTTCCTTCTCCCTCCCTTCTATCTGTCCTTCCTTCATTTAACTGTCTTTCCATTTTTCATCTGTCTCCTCTATACCTTCTCTTCGTTCTTTCATCCCCCCACCTCCCTCCCCAAGTCCCTGTCTTTCTTCTTCATCTAGGTGTGAAGACATGGCTGACACATAAGATGCTGACCTTAGCTGAAGCAGAGCCCTGGTTGCTCCTCTCTAGATGGACTGTTAAGGAACTGGGGCCAGCCTTGATCTTCTCATTACCTTGATGGTGGTGGTGGTGGGGTTTCATTGTCAGGGCATGTGATGTAACCAAAGCCCCTCCCTCCTGTGCAGATGCTCTGAATGTCCTTCTGATCATTGTGGATGATCTTCGCCCCTCCCTGGGCTGTTATGGTGATAAGCTAGTGAGGTCCCCAAACATTGACCAGCTGGCATCCCACAGCATTCTCTTTCAGAATGCCTTTGCACAGGTATGTTTGGGAACCTTTTGGTGTGGGTAAGTGTCTCTTTGTGTATACACAGCAGGGAGTTGAATGTTGCTGCCCTAGAGATGATCTTGAAAGAGGGAAGCAGAGCTTGGAAAATGGAGGCCTAGGCTAACCTGTTCTCCACTTAAAAGGAAGCTTGTACCTGCAAGGCTCCTCTCCTCCTTGGGTGGAGACTATGCCTGCTGTTTGGAAAGCCTGATGACTGTCTTCCTTTGTTCAGAAGACAATAATCTCTAGTACCTGGGGGAGGCCCAAATCCCACTGGTTAGCCTGGAGATCTGCATGACTCAGCTGCCTGGCGGTTGCTGAGGACCTAGGGGGGTTGCTTAGTTACCTTGAAGACTGCAGATACATTTGGCTGTGATGATGTTGACATTTGCTTCTGCTCCCTAACAGCAAGCCGTGTGCGCACCAAGTCGAGTGTCCTTCCTCACCGGAAGGAGGCCTGACACCACCCGCCTGTATGACTTCAATTCCTACTGGAGAGTACACTCGGGGAATTTTTCCACCATCCCCCAGTACTTCAAGGAGAATGGCTACGTGACCATGTCGGTTGGGAAAGTCTTTCACCCTGGTACTGTCAAATTACCAAAGCCTGGGCTCTCTGTTTCTGTTCCTGAATAGTGGAATCCCTTGCTGGGTTGGGGCTGTTTGTAGTTATCTTTCCTGACAGGCTGGGTAACTTGGTCATTGCGACATTTCTATGAAACAGCAACACCAACAAAACAGTTCTTTAGCCTAGTTTCACATTCATAGTCTCAATGAAAGAGAAGAGAAAGAAATGGTTTTTCCTCTAGCTGTTGGAGGTAACGCTTTGGGACTTGAGCTGCTTGGGTTGCGGAAGTGCATTAGCTGTTGCAGACGCAGCTCTGGTGACAGTCCAGCCCTGGACCTGAGCCTGTGCCTTGCAGAGTGCCTGTCTGTAAAGCTGGGTATGAGGCAACCACATCTCAGGACCTCGGATGTCTAGAGGGCCTGTGTGGACTTGATGTCCACATAAGAGCTACAGCTTGGTGGAGGTAATGCTTTCTCTGTGAGTCATGTCAGAAAGAGGAAGGAAGTTGGGTGTCAAGTTCTGGCTTTGAATACTGCCTGATAAACTGGTTGTTCACTTCCTAAATGAAGCATAGCCATCACTTTAAAACACTGACAGAAGGATCACTTGATTTCAAGAATGGAAAGAAAGCAAAGAATATAAAGGTGTAATTGCACCACGCCGAGGAAAGCTGTGTTTGATGTACTCCTGCCTGTTTTTTGGACATAGTATTTTTCTGATTTGTACTCATGTTGTGTAGCATGAATAATAAAATCCCAGAGGCAGAAATTGAGGTTCAACCTGAAAAGCAGAAAAGAAAGGCAGTCAAGCTACTAGAGAAGTCTTACCTCTACCAAGGCTTGGGCAACCTCAAACTAAGCTGGCAACCTCTTTTTCTTCTCTCATTTCCCTCTAGTGCTGAGATTAAAGGCCTGATTCCCTACTGTTATCATTCATGATGCGGGTGACCTTAGGCTGTCCTGGTCCCACGAGGGGCTGTGGCTGGTGACCCATAGCAGGTGCCCTGGTGGGTGGGATATGGACAGATACACCAAGCAGAGAAAGCTTACGTATAAGAGTTTATTTAGTGGGTATTGGGAATGGTTTAAAAGTAAGAGGTTATGGAGGTAGGAGAAGGGGAGACAGAGAAAGACAGGAAAAAGAGGGGAGGGAGAGGCAGAGACTGCCTCTTCAGAAGAAGGGTGGACAGAGAGAGATAGAGAAGGGGGGATTAGGAGTGGGCAGGGCTTGTCTCTTGAAGGGACAGAGTACCCAGGTTACAGGCCAGGCCAGCAGATTGCAACACCTAGTACTGGGATTATAGGTGTAGGCCACCACCACCTGGATTTATTTCTGCATTGATCTTGTGTAGCCCAGGGTGGCCTTGAACTCACAGAGATCTGTCTGACTCTGCCTCCCAAATCCTGGGATTAAAGGTATGTGTCATCATTGTCTGACCTCTAGTGGCTTTAGCTTTGCCTCTGGTCTTCAGGCAAGATTTATTTATCAAAATACAAATAATATACCACTACAATGTCATGTTTATAATTTTATAACCCGAGTAAATATTTCCCATTATATTACACTCCACTCAAATCCCTTTTTAATGACAGCATTCACATTACTTTGGCTTTTCACTGCCATGGGCATCTCTGGAAGCAGAATAGACTACCTGGGCAATAGATAGCATCAAGGATGTGGGCACCTGGTTGTGGTCTCAGTGCTGCCACGACTTAGCCATGCTGCTGACTTTGACTTTCATTCCTTACTTGGGAAGCTGGGACTGTAGTTATTTTGATGCCCAACCAGGGGAGCTTGTCAGTGCAGGCATCCGGGAGTGTAAAGTGTCTTCAAAGTGCTAGATCCATTCAGATGATGATGCTTATCACCAGAGGGGACAGCTTGAGTGTCTCCAAGAGCCTTTTGTACATTGATTATAACTGCTAGGCTCAGGAGCTTTCTTCTGAAACCTAGCTGGCAGTTCAGGATGAGAATAGTCATCAGGTAGACTATGCCCTGCTCCGTTTTGAAAATAAATGTATCAGGAATCATTTTGTGTGGACTAAAGCTGAATATCAGTTGAACTTGCTAGTTTGGTACTTAGAACACTTGCTTAAGGGCATTTGTAGTAATAGGAGTGGCGGGGCTGTGTCCTCAGCACCCTGGCCACCTGCACGACTATCTTTATACCCGAAATAATTACACAGACACTGTATTCATTTAAACACTGCTTGGCCCATTTCTATCTAGCCTCTTCTAGGCTAATTCTCACACCTGGACTAGCCCATTTCTAATAATCTGCTGTAGCCCACTAGGGAGATTCTAGCCTACGTCCATCCTGGGTCAGAGCCTCATCACGTGTCCAGGAGAGGAGAGCATTGTGTCTCTGCTCCAGAGAGCAGAGCTGTCGAGTCTGTGCTCACTTCCTCTTCCTCCCAGCATCTTGTTCTGTTTACTCCTCCCACCTATGAGGCCAAGCAGTCTTTTTATTACTTAACCAATGACCTTCCTCCATCATTTCCCCTTTTTCTGTTTAAACAAAAAGGAAAGGCTTTAACTTTAACATAGCAAAATTACATATAACAAAACAGTTGTTAAGCAAGAATTACAGTTACAATATTTATATCTACCTTATCTTTTATCATAACAATGGAAAACTATAACTATAACTAACCATTCTTCAAGTTTATCAAAGACTCCAGAAGAATATATTACCTAAACAAACAAGAAATCCAAAACTGTAGAAATGACAGAGACATCTCGCTGCCTGGACAGTCACCCAAAGTTCTTTTATACCCTTGGGGCATCCATCTTCAGCCTTCAGGCCCATAGTATCCAGAAGACATTTTCATCAAGCAGGAAATTCCAAAAACAGTTCAGTCACTTTCTGCTGTGTCCTGCAGAATGTCTTGCAGACTCTTTCATGAGTCAGGAACCCCAAAAGACCGTCTCACCTTTAGGCAAGTTCAGCAGTCCTCTCTCTGCGGGTTCTCTGTGTTCATTTTATGCAACAGTCCAGGCAAGAGCAGTTTCTTGCCCAAATGGCTATCCAACTCCATAAGGATCTTCTTCGATGCCCATCTACCTCTCGAAGTAGATTGGTGCCGCCAGGAGCAGACATGTCTCATTGTCATGAAAAATCCTAAGTTATTAAAACATTAAATAGCATATTCCGTACTCTTTGAAAGATATGAATGCCGATCTAACTGAAATATATCTCTATATATCTAGAAAATCTAACTAACATGACTACAAGCTTGACTATTACTGATGATTATCCATTAACCTATATTTCTTAATTATACATTACATTTTTAATGAACTACACAATCGCAATATCTTAATAGCAGAAATATGCATATACATATAACAAAATTGACCTTAAATCTCTATCAATAAAGCAAAATCTATACTAATACAAATTATTCATATCTATATCATATCCCCCTTTAAATGTTAAAGAATGTTTATAAACCATATTTGGGAACATGGGCGCAGTTTTTTCTCTCCAAACTGCTTCCTGCTGAATGGGGGCGTCGTTAATTAGGTCTTTCATGGTACAACGTGTGTGCTAGTTTCATCTCAGTTGGCAGTTGAGCGAAGCAATTTTCTGAAGATGTTCACAGCAACCCTTCAGGAGGGCGTGGTCCATCATACCATATCGGAATAGAAGAAATGAACAGGGTCTCATCCTCTGTGAAAACAAAATAAGAAACTCCTTTCCAAAGCATCATGTCCTTAGATCCAACTTTCAAAGTCAAGGCATTTTCAAAATAACTATGTTGAATTAGTTCAGCAGCATTTATAAATAAATATCTTTTAGCAGCTGTTGCTCTTTCCTCAGCATTCAAATAATTCAAAGAGAGCATAATAGCATACAGTATCAAAATTCTCTGTGTATTTTCCATCTTTGTGCGCTTTATTTTAACCTCTATTTCATTTATTTTTACTTTTTGCTTTTTGAGACAGGTTCTCTGTATCTTTGACCTGGAATAACTCTGCAGACCAGGCTGTCCTTGAACTCTCAGAGATCCGCCTGTCTCTGCCTCCCAGGCATTGGGATTAAAGGTGTATGCCACTACACCTTGAACTCACAGAGATCTGTTTGTCCCTGCCTTCTAGGCACTGGGATTAAAGGTGTGTGCTACCACACCTTGAAGTCACAGAGGTCAATCTCCCTCTGCCTCCCAAGTGTTGGGATTAAAGGTGTGTACTACCACACCCAACTACTCTCTTCCTTTTTTTTTGTTTTTTACTTTAAGAACTTCAGCTTTAGTCTGCATATATTTTTAACACACAGTAAACCATTTAGAAATTTTCTTTGTCTTTGAATCTCTCTTTACTGTATATCTCCTTTTTTCTGACCACATGAGTCTTTAATGTACCAAGCAATATCAGTAGGACTAAAGCCTTGGCTTTGCCAGCTAGATCCAGTCCATTCCTTAGCTTTCCAGCCTCATGGCTGAGGTACTCGCTGTAGCCATGTTTACTGCCACAACTCTATGGTATTTCAAGGTTCCTGCCAGCAAGTAAGTTGCAGCATTATGTCCACAGACAACACACAAGTCCTCTCTCTGTAGTTGGCCCTCCTGCCTCAAACAGTCAGAGTTTGCCCTGGCAGGATGGCCCAGAAAGCCGACATTTTCAAACGGCACAGTTTTTTTTCCTGCTACGGCTGAAAACTGAAAAGCATGCGTTCAGCTTTTCGTCAACACCATTTAAGTGTTTCATGGCAGGACCTCTTAATGAGCTGCAGGGTTTTGCAGCTAAAAGCTGAGTCAGGAAGCCTCTCTTAGATGAGACTCAAACCCATGCCTTCAGCACCAAGACCAAGTACGTAATTGTAAAGCATAACTGCAGCCCAAAGTTTAGTAGTTTACTGTGTACTAAGCAAAACAAATAGCATGTGAAACCAAGAAAGAACTGCCACCTGCCAAGAGTGCAGAAGTGCCTTGGAAGTAAGGGTCTGTAAGACACAGAGAAGCTCATCCCTAAATCTAGTTAGTCATCAGGAAGGAGATCAACAAACAGACCTTGTT